TCCGATCAGAGGGATCTTTTTGGGTGGTTTGATCATAGCGATATGAATTTCTTATTTGCAACCCATGCTCTATAAATGGAGTCCTTACCCCTTTTTGCGAGGGAATCTAGAGCTTGAAGCATGAGAAAAGTGACATTTGGAGGAGCGGAAGTCCAACATCACATATGCACTGATAATCCAGTGAAAGCCTCTTGCTCCTTCAGTCATTGATCGTTGTCAACCACTGACCACCAACACTTACCGATCTCTAACTACTCCTTATGACAAAGCACCGTACGAAGCAATCTAGGAAGCGACACATAATCCTTGGCGTCGTGCCGACCCTGAAGACGGTGCATTGAAGACTCGACTATATTTCCTTCTTGCAACTGCTCCCTATCGCGGGGCCACAAGTCCTTTCGCGCACCGCATTGTTACTTGAGAGGTTGTTTAACACGTACGAAGCAATCTAGGAAGTGACACATGATCCTTTGGCTGCTGGATTGGTGGGAGCTCTATCAAGCAGTGTGGGCAACGACTGTCGAGTCTTGAATAAGGGCTACATAATCTCCAGATGAGACTCCATTCTGCATATTCGGCCTTCCACAGAGGGATTTGAGGCTCCATTGCTAGTAGGGTAGTGCTTTCTAGGGTGGGAAGATATGGAGGCCTAACGCCCTTGGCTCTATGATTTCCCCTGAAATGATGGGTGTTGGAGTGGGATACTTCATTGTTGCGAGTGTTGCATCTGGTGGCCATGTAGAGAGACTCGCTAGTACTTCAAGTGTGGTATTGCTTGGGTTCCCATCGGTGGAGTTCGACTGATGTGTGCAGAAGAATTTATGGCGATAGACTAATTAATTAACGTCTTGGCGTTGCATGAGAACCCATTACGTACTCAGGTAATAGAAATGATGGACAAGAACACCAGAATGTTTTTACGTGGAATGTTCGAAAAAGGAGAAAACCATAATGCTTGACCCAATTAAAAGAATCTATTATAAACTGAAGATTATATGTACAAACTCTTATTCCACAAGCGGAAAAGAGTTACACTGCCTCTCAAGTTATAACGTTGGTACTCGGAAGGAATTGTTGCCCCGCGGCAGGGAACTATCACGAGGAGCAATTCGGGCTTCAATGCACAGTCTTCATATTATCTAGGTTGAAAATAAGGAAAGAATTCATCACTTTGATCGTACGGTTCAGAGAGATCTCTCTGATCAGACGACGTTCGATGAACATTTCAGCACCTTAATGACGTCACAATTAGGTGTTCTTGGACTCTTTAGATTTTTATTGTCGAGAAACTCGATTCGAATATAAGTTTGGGAAGTTTAGAATTCATTTAACGTTCCAAATATGTCTAGAAAGTTTTCGAAAATGATTTAATCAGTTGATTGAGTCTTGATTTGGCTCGAATTAGATCAATTTAGCTACCTTTGGGTCAATCTCGTCAAACTGGTCAATTTGACTGTAAGTTTGTGAAATCGGAACTCTTGATGACTTTTAATTGAGATATTTCTTTGGGAAAAGATTGCCCCGAGATTTGTCATACCTCGAGATTCACCTTGGATGTTCACTTTTTAAAATAAAATATTAATAAAAATAAACTAAAAATATTTTGATATAAATATTTTAAAATAAATTATTAAATAGAAATTATATTTAAATGTGCAGTGAAAAAATGTTATTGAACTATTCATCACCGATTATTTATTTATATATTAAATCTTGAATTTTATTTTTAATTTATGTAATTATTTAAATAATAAATAACGTGTGACTTATTTGAGTGTCATACGCTCAACGTATCAGCCGACGTTTGAATGGTGATGATAACATACAATAATAGTAAAATGATTTATTATGAATAAAATACAATGTTTTTTTTTGGAATAAAAAAATTGAATATTAGATTAAGGGTCCGTTTGGGACAGCTTATAAGTGTGGGCGACGTATTCAAAACGCCGCCGTATCGTTTGGTTCGCGAGTTTCGTCAGCTTATCCGAAACTGCATTTTGATTTTTACGCTAAACGCTGGCCTTCAAGATAAGCAGTTTATCTTGAAACGCACAAACTACCCCAAACGGATCCTAACTTGTCCCCATATTAAATTCTAATCAAAATAGAAATTTGCATGCATACCACACCATTCTTGTGTATTTATGTATCTAACGACCAAAATTTGATATTTAGACAATACTTTGGTGATGCTCTTAAAGGTTTGAGCAGCATGCATGTAAATATGAATGTTTGGGTGTTAGATTTGTAAATAGATAAGAATTGCGTGATATGTATTTAAATGCTCAAAAAATAAAAATATTTTAGCATATCATCAAATTTATATTAAATGATGTCAATAACTTATTTTTGATGTGAAGGTTCCCAAGTAAATAAATTACTGCTCACTATGTCTTAAAAGAAGAAAACAGAAGTGACATCAATCTCATTAAATATAATTTTTATTTATATTTTAATTTAATTCTAGAGCACAAAAAGACCCTAATTTCTTGAAAAATACCTTTAAAATTTTTATTTTTATTTTTTTTACATAGTGCACAATTCTTATGTGTTTGCATATTTAACATCTAAATTTTTATATCTATATTTATAACACGGTGGCATAAATTTATGCATGAAAATGTATATTTTATTAAAAAAAAAAAAAGTAAATGTGGTATATTTGATGTGATATTAAATATTTAAATGCTATATATGTAAATATGATATTTTAAGTGGTAGATATGCAGATACATATAAATAATGCTTCTATTTTACGCCCATAATGAGCTATGAATCAAGCAAATGTGAGAGTTTAATTAGAAGAACACAGGTCTCGTGGATTTAGATGATTGAATCAACTTCAATGTACTTTGGGATCTATAATATCCAAAATGTCCGGATGGGTTGCTCATATAAATTCTGTAATATGCCAAGAAATCATGCTAAGCTGGTCAATAGCCAGCTATCAAATTTGTCCAACAATATTCAAAAGACAATTAATTAAGAGCTATCATCATTAATAATCGATCTATTTGTTCAATTCTCCTTTCGAGTAATGCTCATTTTAAGCTCTCATAAAAAAAACAATGGTTTCGTCAATAGGTGCGAAATCAAGTTAAGTTTAAGTTGGGCAATTGGCACTCTTAAAAATTCTCGTTGTTCAACAAAGCATCTTCAACGTGTGCTAATAACTTAGGCTTCCCTTGAAGGAGTTTCATCGTCCAACAAAGCACCTTTAAAACCCATGTCCGCGGAATGAAGGTTGTGATATACGATCTAAAACGACAAAAAATTGTTGTTCTTAAGAAGCAAGTTTGGGAGATGTCTTGGAGATGTAGATTCACAAAATAAAATTGTTTCCATTTGTAGATGTTTATTATAATAGAACGAAAATTCAATATCCATTCAAAAGGAAGCCACACTTTCCTTGACTAGATATCTCTTCTTCACTTCTACTTTTAGGCTAAGCAATCTTATATGAAATCAAAATACTCATCCAATCAAATGCGAACTTTGATGTAATTTTTAATTTAAGAATTTTTAGAATTAAATTCACTATCATCCAACTTTTAAAGTTCAACATAGTGATCAAATTGCATTTCAAAGTTTTTTGGACAGTGACTGAAAAGTTAAAAAATCTTCAAATCCATGTAGTTAAAATCAAGCATTTCAATGAGAAAAATATAATGAGTATATGATTACTCAATTTTGAAGTCATTATTAAATTTAAATGTCATAAAATATATATAATGAAAAAAAAATCATAATGACCCATTTTCTAGAGTGTGAAGGTGTTTTACCAATTTTTTTAAATAAAAATGCTATTATAAAAAAAGTTATAAATAAGACTACGTTCCCTAAATGATAGGAGAGAAAATATACCAAACTTAACACCCATGATCATTACGAACAAATATTGTTATCTTACTGGATTATTGTCATCCAACCATCATCACCTAATCACCATTATCCAACCACCATTGTCTGATCATCATTGTTTAACTAATATAGCCTTCTGATTGTTTCTTAAATGCTATTGTTCGATCATTGCTACTGAATAAACCAAAACATCATGGAATTTATTGTATTGTTTTATAATCTTGCCTTCTCAAATAAAAGAGAAGAAAGCAACCTCAGGAAGTATTAGCACAAAATGAATTCAAAGACACCAAGACCACAAAATCCTAAAATATCAGGATGGAAGATTTTGGAACCATAGGAGAATATTAATTCATAAATTTTTGAGACACTTAGTCAAAACATTGGGGGTCCATTCTAAATTGCAATTAGTGATGTGAAATATCCTATAATTTTAAATATAATAATATGACAATGAAGGAGAGTTATGAATTGATTCATAAATTTTTGAGACACTTAGTCAAAACATTGAGGGTCCATCCTAAATTGCAATTAGTGATATGAAATATCATATAATTTTAAATTTAATAATATGACAATGAAGGAGAGTTATGAATTGTTATATGATAATATAGTGGATCGGTTAAGATGGACCCAAGGTCACGTGGTTGGTTGGTCTGATGTCAAGTCAAACCCACCCTTATCCACATGGTTTATGTCCTTTTGGCAATCTATTTTCTTGATTATTCGTGTAATTAAAATTGTTGTGGCAAGATGAACATTTGGGCAATGATTCCACATCATTTGAATCCTAAAAATAACTTTTTTTTTTTTTTTGAATATGTAGTGTATTTCAGTTGAGTCCTTTTCGTATTTTGAAGATCAAGAAGACCATCCCAAGTTAAAATTTAGGGGCATTTACAGAAGTATCACATAATTCTTAAGGATTTACACATGGAACACTTAAAGATTTGATCTTTACATTTAGAACATCTTGGCGGTGTGAACTCATGCATAAAAAGATTTATTTGACTTTTTAAAAAGTTAGTAAAGTGATTTTTTTATTACTGCAATGTTAAATATTAAAGTTTAGGAATTGGGAGAGGTGAAAACATAAGAATTGTGTGTTGTGGTTGAAAATGTTCCGCTTATGAGAGTCAGAAATAGGAGTTCATCAGGCACAAGAGAGATCTGGAAAACAGAGACTGATGAGGCTTCTCGGCAAACATGTGTTTCCAAGGCAGATTGTTCTTCTGGCTTCCGGGTACCTTCTCTTCTCTCGATTCGACCAGTTTCTGATTCAAATTCAAAAACTCTTATCTTTATTTAACTAAAATAAAGAATCTAAACACAGGCTTCTGTTCCTGTGTGCGACTACTTACGATGTCCACAGATCCATCAAAAACAATGAGAAACCGCCAACAAAGGAGCAGATCGATGCGCTGCAATCTTACGTCGATTCCAAGCGCTCAATTCCTCCCGACCGAGAGAGGTTTTAGATCGTAATCACTTTTTACTTTTTCTTTTTTCTTTCTTCTTCTGTTGATCTTATTGTTACGACGAGCTTTTATCAGCTCTGTTTGTTCGTCGAATCATTAGCTTCTACAGTAAATGGCTCTGTTTTATAAGCAAATGCCCCAAAAAGGGGAACAACTTTCGGTCGCCTGCATGATGTTTGATGATATTACGAACCAAAGCTTTCTGAAACAGTCAGAATGCTTTACAAAAGTAAAGGGAAATGAATCATGGCACAATGTTGTGTTTTGATTTCATAGGGGATTTTATAAATGAATTGGCTGTCTCAATAACTTCACAATTAAGTGAGCTTAGTGTCACAGACAAACAACTCGCAAGTCACTCGTGCGGTTTTAATATTTTTCCTTAGAAATATATCGGCCTAACACTTACAAAGCTTGGACTTGAAAACACAAAACTCTATAGAAAAGTAGTAAGGAGAAGTTATTGAAAAAAGGAACACTTCACTAAAGAATGAGAGATTATACACTTGGTTGCTTAGAAATCTTGGATGGATACAATTGAGGGGGAATGACTTTTACTTATAGTCTCTTCCAAGCCTTAGGGAACCTTCTATATTACATTAGAATAGACTAACTTCTAGATAATTCTACATTGCCCTTTTATATGTACATGATTCTAAATTTTTTCTAAGCTATCCTAGAATTCTCTTGAAGCTTGCTACTTTTAACATATTTCTAAAATTATGTGAAACCTTTTAGAATTCGTTAAATTATTCTCCTACTTTTTACTTTTTTTTCTAGAATCTTTTTTTTCCATGACCAAAAGGATGTGGCTCATCATTGCTTGAGATGGCGGTGCGTGACATTAGACTCGCTAGATTTCTCTTGTTGAGACGCCCGATTTAACTGTAGTTTTGTCAAATTTGGAGTTCATCTGATAATTAAATTGATGATTTAAAGCCTCCAAATATATTTTAATAGCCTGATCTGCACTTGATTGAACTCAAATTGAAACAATTTTTTACTAGACGATTAGTTTGACTATAAACTTGCTAAAATTGGGCCCTCAGATTTTTAATTTGAATTTGAAATGTTAATTGTTCAAAAAACATCTCGAGATTCATGCAAAATAAAAATTTGTTCATGATTTATCAAATATTTTTATTATTTAAATCTATTTTACACTTGAGCCCTTTCCTTCTTAAAAGAAAAAAGATGAAAAAAATGGCAAAACTCTTAAAAAAAATCATTAAATGGCTCAAACTATTTGAAATATATGAGTGCTCATAAACATTATATTAGAACATAGAACATAATAAAAATGTAGCCCTCAAAATAATAAAATTTTGACATGACTATCTAAGAATGGAAAAATCCTATGAAACCATGTCTTGTATATAAGCAAAAATCTACCTACACCAATGCTGATTAAACCATTAAATGAAGCTAATTACTAGTGGCTTGGTGTTGCCTCCCTTTAAAATGACTTTGACCTCCCATGGAGTTGCCATCATGCCAACTTGGACCTAAAGACACGACTCAAATATATATTTAACTTAAGATTAATATGCTTAGTATAACCTCAAACTCTTTAAACATAATTTGAATCATTTACATGCACACCACATAATTTTTATAAGCATAGATATCTAAAACCTAAACTTTCATATTTACTCAAATATTTGACATCATATCAAAAATATCACTATCAATTTGAAAAGTGAAATAGACATTTTCATGCATATATATATTTAATGATGAAGTGTTATAAGCATGCATATCAAAGTTTAGATGTGTTAATGCATAAGAATTGTGGTTACTTATGCAAATTGCTCATAAAATGCAAATAAAACAATCGAAAACTTTTTTCTTGTCTGGTGGTGAAGTGTAATGTATCGTGTCAAACATTTTTAATCAGATAAACACTAAATATACATATTTTTCAATGATCATATATGTTTCGTTGACGAGCTACTCAGCAACACAAACATGGCACTAAGCTATCTATTTGTCAGGATTGGTTGCGAAACTTGTCTTTTAATCAAGCTACCAAATCCCAATTGACGGAATCATTATATATAAGGTAACAAATAGTTGCCAATTACAATCATTAAGTTAAAGACACTTATAACTATTTATGTTGGTGGTATGCTAAAAGACTTGAAAAGATGGAATCATGAAAATTTTACCAGATTCATTATCAATTTTTCTCGAAGTTTGTTTGAATAAACTTCGTTTGCATGTCTTTATTGGATCTTCATTTAGAGCATATTGAAGCACTATAGAGGGAGGTAGGCAAGACAGCTTTGACTCCGAATGCGAGAGCATAACGAGTAGACTACAACGTAGTAGTCCGGCAACGAATATCCATCTACTACATAAGTGCAAAAAAATTAGCCTGACTACAAATCATTCATTAAATCCTTAAAGTTGGTGGACATTTACAAATACATAAATACTGTAATATTAATAACTTTCCTAAAAGATAGTGTTAATCTTTAAGCAATATAGTTCACTTTATTTCTCGATTAGTTTATTAAATTCCTTAAATTTAGGTAGATGAGAAAGAGTATTTATAATTATGATGGGTCCTAAACATAAGGGCTTGAAGATGCTCAAATCTGATATTTTCCTTGAGAGTGCTCCAACTCCAGGCATGTGAAGCGACAACAATGATAGCTGTTTTTTTTATTTTCTGGAAATCTGGAAGACAAGCTCGACATATTAGGATGCTCAAATGATGCAATTCAGACAGTTATGATAAAAGCAAAACACACACTGTGGAAGCTTTCATATTGATATGATATGTAAATTTTTAATTTGTATATTTGTTTTTGAATTTATGATAATATGCTATTATCATTGATACGCCTCCAACAAATTTCCATTATCTGACGCGAATATGATGGCATGACACGAATCTGGAGACAATCTTTTGATTTTCTTTTCAGATTTTTCACAAAAAAAAATTCTTGGTATTTTCTCTTGTTACATTTTCATTATCTGTGTGCTTAATGAAATTTTATACAATGTTGAGATGTTAAATTATTACTCTATTGCCACAATTTTTTTGGTATACAACATTAGCGATGTTTTCACGAGCTATATCAAATTATTATGTGTTAGAATATTCACTATTATATAGTGAGGGATTAATGTCTTAGTTTTATAAAAAATATTGGTGCACATACATGAACTTGAAAAAAAAAATTTAAAAATTTTTTTACAAGATTTAACCCAAATGAAATGGCATAATGTATATATATGTTCATAAAAACTTGCTCTTTCCCAAAACTTAAAAGATATTATATAAATAGTGGGGGTAACAATGATATTAAAGAAATGACATCAGTTGTAATAGCTAAACAACATGCTCAGGAGACAATTGTCATATCACAATGGTTGAAAGATTGTGGTAGGGTGATGACAATCATGTGGTGGTGGATAGAAGACTAATTGGGAGATGATAGTTTGAGGATGGCATTCAAAAAAATGATGGTCAAGTGGTATCGATTAAATGATTGTGTTAACTGTTTATGTCGATTATTCTCTAAATTATTTTACATATATAAACTTGCTCTAATTTCAGCTCTAGGACCCTTTTCATGTGAAGACCGAGTCTATTTATAATTTTTTAGAGTGACATTTTAGTATTTTTGTCAAAGCTACATACCCAGTCAATCATTCTATACTAATTCATTTGATCATAAGTTATCCATTCAACATTTAAATGTCTTAGTGATGTCGAGATTTAGTAATGTTTAAGCTTATTTGATTCATATCATCAAGACTCCGGAAACAATCGTAAGAATATAAGATTCAAACATCATTTAACACTTCAATCAATATATGTAAATTTACGGTAGTACTTTAAGCCCTTGATTTGGGCCTATTTAAACATAAATTGGACAAAATTTGGTTTTATTATATTCATCTCATTATGATATTTACTTCAATTAGAAAATTGCTAAAGTATAGTTTGGATGATTCTTAATTTAATTCTAAATTTTTTTAAATTTAAACATTTCATCAATTGTCATGCTTGATCAAGCCAACTTTCAAATAATATGTTTCTTATTAAATTAATATAATTCGCTTCAAGTTTTAAAGTTTGTTGGAGGAATATTTCTTAAATTCATTAATCCCATGAAAAATGAGATTTTATAATTTTTAATTTTATTTATTTAAAGGGGCATTTACATATGTACCGCAGCCAATTACTATGCATTATTAATCTAACACCTAAGCCTGACTTTTTACACTTATACCATCTAAACCTAGGGCTGTCAAAAAAGCTTGTTGTTCGCGAACAGTTCGTGTTCGGTTCGTCAATGAGTTTGTGTTCGATTCATTCGATAAATAAACGAGACGAACATGAACAAATTTTTTTCGTTCGATTAGTTTAACGAACTAAACACGAACAATGATGCGTTCGTTCGTGTTCGAATCGTTATTGTTTGAAGTATAAAATAATTTAAAATAATTATATATAAAAAATTTATAATATTTAAAAAAATTAAATTTGATAAATTTAATATATAATAGATTAATAATAATAATATATTAATATACTATATTAGTAATATATTAATGTAGATATTATATTTTTATATAATATAAGTTATATAATTAATATTATATATTATTTTTATATATTAATATTGGGGTTGTCAGTTCGTCGTCTGCGAACAGCTCGTGTTCGGCTCGTGTTCAATTCATTCGTTAAGAAAAGAACACGAACAGTGACTTCACGAACAATTTCGAAAATAAACTTATTTCAAACAAACTAATCGAACACGAACACAAACTCTGTTCCTTCGTGTTTGGTTCGTTTACACCCCTAGCTACAGTTATATTTATTTGTTATATTCATAAATTGTTATTCAACTTTTTTTCTTTTAACAGTCAACGCATAAAGGTTCTGACTTTGATCAACAATTCTGCTTTTTAGGTATTTTTCAGAGACAAGTTGGTGCCGACAACTTTTTACTATTTTTGTAATGGAAGGCTTTCTTTTTGTTTTAAATATTTACATATACCATTTATGTCCTATGTATTTTTATATGTAACACCTAAATTTACAATTTTATTGAGTTAAAACTTATCTATAGATGACAAAATAGTTTTAATTTTTAGAAATTAAAAAGATGAACTGTTTAATCTACTTTGAGATTCTTTATTTTTGATATGCCACAAACAAATTTCAAAATTCGACACGGATCTTTAGGTTTGATGTGGATCACGAGACACATTTTTAGCGAAAGATAATCAAATTTTGATAAAATGTCATTTAATATTTCTATTTCAACGAACTTATTGTCAAACTGACTGGCTTAATAAAACGAACTTAACGATATTGAAATTGGTCAATCCGAGTCAGATCAAGCCAAATAAAATCATTTTGGAGGTTTCAATTGCCTAATTGGAAGGTCAAATGGATGTTAAATATGAGATGATTTAGTCAAATCGAGTGTTTCATTGAGATGAATCAAATGAGTCCAAGATCGCTTAATTCTGACATCATTAAGACAATCAAACATCCATCAAATGTTGTCTGATCAATGAGATCTCTCTTTGGCATCCGATCAAGTGTGTTTTGGATTCCAGTCTTTATTTGTAATTTTAGCTCTATAAATGGACCCTCAAGCCTAGGGCTATCAAAACGGCTCGTTGTTTGCGAACAACTCGTGTTCGGCTCGTTCGCTAAGTTAACGAGCCAAACACGAACAACACGAACAACACAAACAAATATTTGTTCGTTCGTGTTCGGCTCGTTTTGGCTCGAAATACTACTAACCGATTATATATATATATATATATATCTTTGATGAGCAATATTTTTAAAAAAATTAGTTGACTAAAAGGCTACAAAGATTTATAATCAATTAAAAATATTAATGAAGAAAATAGAATAAAAACTATTAAATTAAATTCAAATGATGTTTTAAATATTGCCCCAATCCTTAACATCTTATGGCTATAGGATTAGATTTGTCAAAACGAATATTTATTCGTGAACGGCTCGTGTTCGGCTCGCTAAGCAAACGAGCCGAACACGAACACAATTTTTTAGCTCGAAATATAAATGAGCGGAACACGAGCTGAGCCTGGGCTCGCTCGTGTTCGGCTCGTTTAAACCTCTAGTTATACATAAAAAGGCCAAAGGGCCGGGGAGACAACAGAGCCTACAGGAGTGGAAGCTGCAGCCCAGCCTCATGCATCGCCGCCTTTCAGCTTCCACTGCTGCCTTTCGATGCCCGCCGCAACCATTTGACCACCACAGCTGCCTCCGTCGTCGTCGCAATCTTCGGTCGTCGTCGTCACAATCTAAGGTCGTTGTCGTAGTCCTCAGACCACCGCCGCCTTCTTCCGGCAACCTTAGCCTTCTGGCCGCTGCCGCCGCCTTCCGGTCATCGCCGCTTTTGGCTTCCTCCTCTCTCTCAGGCTGCCGCCTTTCGATTGTTGTTGTCTCAAAACCCTATCACCGTCTCAAGTCTGCATTGCCGCCCGCTCCCTACAACGGGTTCATCAGTTTGCAGAAGTTGTAATCTGATTAATTGTGTAACTCTTTCTCACCTATGAGACAAGTGGTTGCACCTGTAATCATCAACTCATAGTGAAACATTTCAACTATGCAAGACTCATTTTTTTCTCTTTTGGGTTATCCATATAAAAACTTCCAGTGTTGTCACTGTTTTCTTATTTCTAATATGAATGTGGGTTGAATTTCTATACAACGTTAAGACGAAAATTATTTATTCTACCGCACAAATCTCCTAGCACACATTAATTTTATTATTAGTTAATATGTTTTAAGTTCGAATATTAAAACGTAAAATGTATATTGAGTGATTTGTTTATAAATGCATTTTTTTTTTTTTTTGAAAAATCGATGTAAGGGAGGACAATATTAAGAAAAAATATTAAATACGAATAATGAATACTCATATGTGCGCTCAACCAAGTACGGTGAAGTGCACAGTGAACACTACTATACTCCGCAATGTAGATCAGAAAAAGAGAGAGAGCGAGCATGAGGAGACCGTGCTAGCCCGACTGTACCTGCTGCTGTTCATGTGGATAGCTGGACTGCCTCCACATCTACTCCCTTTTCTATTGGAAAACTGCCTAAAAAAGCTACATTTTCAATGCCTTTTACAATTGCCAGTCCATCGCTCTCATCAGTGTCAGCCACACACACACACATGCACACAAAAGAGATAGAGAGCGGCAGAGAGTGAGAGACAAGAGAGAGAGGTAATGCGGGGCGGCATCATAGAAAGGGAGAAAATTTTAGCTGTTCTATTGTTTAGGTTTGCAGTTTGCTCTTTTGATAGAAGGGCGGCAATGTCAGGTACTGAATTTTCTAGTACTGATTTTTCTAGTTTTTACTAAGAAAAAAAAAAAAAACTATGCAAGTGTGTGCTAATCATTCTTGTCTACTTACCTTTAATCTGTAAACTAATAGCTAGTCATCTTATTTTATATCTGAGCTTGGCGAATGGCGAATGGCCGCCATCACAGCCATCAGTTGCGGGTTTGGTCCGCCCATTTGCCTGACCGAAGCCCAGCCCGCTTCAAGGCTGCTCGACGAGGACCGTGTAAGCCCAGCCCGCTTCAAGGCTGCTCGACGAGGACCCTGTCGGAACACGTCAATGAGAATTCTACTTATTTCATCTTCCTTTTTTGGTATTTAAACTAAAGAAGGTTTACATTCATGGCACTCGATTCTTGTGTATTTAAACATCTAACACCTACGTGTAGTTCAATTCACACACGCCCATCACCTTAATTACTTATACATACAGAGATGTATTTCACTTGTTTTTTAATTTAAAATGATGATATTTTTGATGTCTTATAACAGATTCGTGTGATATAAACATAAAGAGCAAAATTTAAGTTTTAGTTATGTAAATTTATTTGATTAATATAGATTAGAATTAAATAAAATCATACTAAGATTGAAAATTACATTTTATTTGGAATGAATTTGACATAATGTCCTTTAATGATGATTTCGATACCTTTATTAAAAGATTATTTCTGAGATTGAAAATTACATTTTATTTGGAATGAATTTGATTTCGATACCTTAATTATATTTTGATTTATAAAAAAATTTAAATAATAATGACTACCATCATCCCATGATTTTGTGTTGATGTTGTGATTGTTGTTGTTGTTATTGCTCTCTATCTTCAAAGTTTTGTGAACTTGATCCTTCTTAACTACCCCATCTCAAGCAATGCGAAAGCTAGATCCCCAATCCATCAAACTATGAGTGTTATGATCCCATTTCTTAAATCTTGATAACCGACAATTCGAGGGTGTTGACAATTCCAAAAGTTTGATGAGATATAATTAGAGAAGTGAAACACCAAGTAACAAAAAATAGACAACAATTTGAGTATGCCACCAATTTCAAAAAATAGGAAACATGAGGAGAGGAAGAATACACAAAACATACGAACTTATCTCCTTTTTTTATTTCTTTTTTTCCATGTCTCCATTGAGGATTATTTATAGAATAAAAAATATTGATTCACTAACATTAATTTTTAATTAATTAACTATATTAATCAATATAAATGCAAAATTACTAATCTCTTATTCTCAATTACATAACCGACATAGAACACTCATGAACTTTTACGAACCTCTAAAAAAAGTGAAAAATCATCACTTTTTTCTCCTAATTAAAGACCTCTTAAATTTGAGACTCAACATGATATTTTACATTAGTTATCACTCTTTAGCTCTTTGTCTTAAAAAGGTTGAAACTCTGAGCTTCTATAGATTTAAATTACCCAAGATAATTTATATTTGGTTGCTAAACCCAAAGATGATTCATATTTTGGTTCTAAAATCTCCAAATTAAATTATTTTAATTTTCATTTTGGCTTTGTGTACTTGACTTAAAAAGAGTTATCCTTAAGCCACCATCAACTTAAAAATAATTTCTCTTAGCTAATATTGTATTCAACATCTTATTAGTTAGTAAAAGAGATTTAAAAATTGTAGTAATTATTAAGTAATGGCTGCAAATTTGTGGTTAATGACTGTTGTAACTATTATTTGTGCTTCTCTTTGGTCCAACCTTGTTTCCTATAACCAGGTTGATGAGCATTATAATCATGTCACAAGGATCAGTATAGCTCCATTAGCATTTTAAGCAAATTTCTGAACTCGAGTCGAGTTCTTTTGAAGTAGAAGGGATCTAATGCAACTAACTATATTAAGTTTACATTATTACACCATCTTTACTTTTATATCATAATAATTGCTTAATAAAATTAAACACTACTTAGTTCCTTAGTTAATCATCTTTCTCTTATTATGTGGCTTGTATTAGACAATGATGAAGCTTACTGTTTCAGTATTTTCAGTCACAACTTCTCCTTAGTCTCGATTCTTTACATTAGTTTTCTTATCAAATTGCTTACTAGTGTTAATTTTAATTGCATTATATACATTTTTACGATGTTTTAAATGTTTTCGAAAATATTGTCTTAAGAAAGTATATATTTTTAATTATATTAAGGGCATTTACATACATACAACACAATTCTTATATATTCACATATTACCTAACACGTAAACTTTCATATTAAATACATACCAATCAAATCTTCAATATTACATAATAAATATCACTATTGCTAGCTTCTTAAAAGTGAAATACATATTTTCATGCATAAAATCTATCAGAAAAAGTGCTATAAATACAAATATTAAACTTTCGATGTTAAATATGTAAATAAATAAAAATAATGTGATATTTATGCTTACAATTGTATGAGAGCCTTAAATGAATGATCTTAGAACTATATTAAAAATAATCTATTTAATGAACAATCTCAAACTATGAATACTTGTAAGAAGAAATTAGAGGCTAAGCTTTCAATTGTAAGCTTCTCATGAACTTAGATTTCATCATTTATATACTAAAATTCTAATAAAATAAGCTGATTTTATCAACTTTGAATGAAAAAGTTGAGGTTGCTTTTAAAATTGATAATTTATGCCCCACTAAAATAAAAATCCCTACCATCCCTAATGAAAATGTATTTATGTCCAAAAGGGATAACCTCTATTATTGGCTTGCATGATTTTATTGGTTTAGCTGCAAAAGTTGATATGGACCACCAATATTTCTTTTATTAATATCACATTTTTATATTCTATAAAAAGAAATTACATATATCATGTAGTGTGCGTGTGCGACAACCCAAACCTTTTTGACCTATTGGTCTCACAATTTTACCGTGTTGGTTTAACTTCCGAGGAGGTCACCCATCCTAAAAGAGTTTCTATTGAAATTCTACAGTCA